CATGGAGAATGGGTGGGGCGTGAGCTCACATTGACCACCAAAATCGAATCACTTCATCCTTGAGTCCAGTTGAAAGTTTGCGCCCAATTCTAAGAAATTCCCTCCAGGTATTCTTGAAATAATGAGTTCACGAGAATGGATTGGACGGACAGACGGACAAACAACCTAAAACATAATGCCTCTGGCCACGGCGGGCATTAAAACAACCCCAAAAGCAAGCAGGTAACAGTGAATAAGCTGTATTCTTAATCTTGAGGATAAGAGCTATAAATTATGCACATTTTTCACGTCCTCCCCTCAGATATTCAGGCGCCAGCGCTTATTGCTCATGTTGATGAACTGTCTGCCTAGGAATGGTCTGTGGTTTGTCGCTTCACAGTACGGTTTTATCTTACTGCTTCCCACCATTGCCAGGCTGGTGGTGAGAGTTTGACAGAGTACAATTTCATTTCATGATGCACAAAAAAATGTATATTGGTGTTTTAAGATCAGAATCAGGAGATGGTAATGCATATTCATTGTGATATTCAAATTAGCATATTTTGAGTCCTGCAGTTGGAATGTGAGCATATAGCAAATGCTGTATACAATTCTTAATAAAGCACCACATTCTCAAAAGGGATGCCAGACCATAATTTCAGAATGTAATTGCCCAAATTCTTTGGTGATGATTTGTTATATTTAACAGTATGACACAACACCAGGGAGGTTTAATTAATACAAAATAAGTGTTTCTATGGCAAAGTGTGAAGGCAGGCTTGACTGCAGTTATTTCTCTGAGGCACAAAGTTGTATAAAGACGAGTTGGTGTCTGAGGGACTGATTGTGCACTTTCTGAAAACCCTGAAGTCACACCTACAATTTTTGGAAACAGAAAATTGGCTGAATTGGAGTGAATCTAAATCAGTTGCGAAACTGATCAGTTTCCTAGCAACAGTGTCGGTATTGGCATCAACGGGTTTTTTGTTTTTCTTCCCAGCCCACAGTCTTTAAAGCTTTGCTATGGGAGGCTACACAACAATATTCAGCAGGGATTTCTGAATGAAAAAGAAATATTCCCTCGTATCATATACAGTATAATGAGGTTTTTAGACACTAAATAGCAAAAGTTATAATGCAGAAAACACATTATATAAGCCAAAATATAATGAAGTGTTTCATTTTAGAGTTATGTTTCATTTTTATAGACCACTTCTGAAACATGCATCAATCTGTTTTTCCTAATCCACATTGTGGTGAGATGAAAGGCTCAATCAGCTTTCAGTTCATCTGATCTTGCTTGAACGTCAAACAAATCTTCAAGCGCAGGCTGATCCTAAACCCCTCCTCCAGTCAAGAGCTGTCTGTAAAATATCGAATAAATGTTTAGATAATGTGGCATAAAAGATTCCATGTCATTCCCCAAAGCAAAGCAAATTCACCTCAATTATTTCGCATTCATTCACACTGCCTTTGGGCAAGCAGCAAGCTTGACCTCTGTATCTTTGACTTTCTGTTTGTTGCTTGTTGTTCAGTTACGTGGGCTGAATGAAAATACGACGTAGTCCAGAATTGAAAGTTGCTTGAACAAAATAAATAAGGACTTCCTGAAATGAGACTGGGGCATGAACAAACATTACGGTCTGACAATGAATGACGAAGGAGAGAGAAGAAAAATAACCCCCTTAGTTGTGGATAAGCCTGTCCAGCTTTAATTCTTCTCATATGGCACAAATGCATTTGACAATGATAACGGTGGCAGATTAAATATCGTGCTAAAAAGACTGAGGCTAAAGCTACATGTTCCAGGCAAAAAAATGAATCATCCTGTCCAGGACATAAAAATAAAGAAACAGCATGGCAGTGTAGAGCTCGTAAGTCCTAGTATTATCATTATGTCAAGAAAAAAGTTAAGATCCCACTATTGCCTCATGCATAACACAATAATGTTGCTCAGCTTACATACTGAGACAAGCAGGTTAGATTTCTGTATAATTGTTCATATTTATGAGCTTTAAGCTTTACGATACTCGAGAAAAGGCTTTTAGGATGGGAACTGACCAATGTGTTTGCTGAACATTATGCTATCTCAAGTAAAAAAGTTTGGGGTGGGGATCGCCGGCATGCAAACTTTCCGAAATGCGATAAAAAGAGCAGGGCAGAGCTGCTAACATTAGCTGCTAACACTCAGCCATGACACAATAAAGAAATACTGCGGAGGGTGTGCTATTCTTGAACAGCATCGTGAACAACCTGTAACCCAACACAATGTTAGCTAGCTAATTAAATGCGCTCCTTGACTTTGGAATTAATGTTAGGTTAGCTAGTAAGCTAACTCTGGTAAGCTGGGCATGCTAATGGCTGCAGTTTACCTTACAGCAGATAAACACGCTGATCCAGACTTTTACTTGTAATCTATTTGCATAGTCGAAATGAAACCCTGCATACATTATTGATCTGTTTTATGAATATTAGATGAACATTTCAGCCACTATTTTTTAAGCTTGTTTTGGTAAGTTGGTAGGCCCTATACATGTCTCCTAGTTGTCTGTAACTCGCAAGACCTAATACAACACTTGAATATGCCTGATGATCTCTGGATATTTATGGAAACACATGCAGTGTCGATGTCATCTCTTGTTTTGTTTTGTTTTATTCCTGCCGGTAACAATGTGTCCAGAGCCACATGAAACAAGGGTGGAGTGCTTCCCTCATTCTCTTTTAGTGTCTAACCAAAGAGGAATGAAATGGTGTTCGTCCCATCAGAGTCTTTTATGTGAAGGCACACGATTGTGGACGTGTGAGCACCTAGCAACACATTGTGTCAAAAATATCACTTGGAACAACGATGGAGGTCACTGGGATCGATTGTCGTACCGACAAGAAGGATTTTCTACATGTACGACAAAAGCAGTGAATGCAGCGAGACATCTGTGAAGAAGTAGCCTTCAACCACAATCCTGGAATAATGCAATATGATATTGCATACAAACATATACTGGATGAAAACGGGGGGAAACAAAATGTCTTAATGTTCATATATTCATTAGGATTTTGCTTTTGGCTTCACAGGTTATGCTCATTTATCCCATGATAAGGTTGGATTCTAAATAAGCAAAAATTGGAGCGCAGCTACGTCCCTGGGAGCTTGTCCTCACCTGGGCTTACTTGTTACTTACTAGTGCATTTAGGGTTTGAAATGAATAAATTAATCCCGTGTGATCATAATAGTGTTTCTAGAAAGAGGAACATATGTAATTAGGAGATTTCTTTAGCTCTGTAATGATTTCAGTGTGTTGCTGGTTGTTGTTGCTGTAACAACACTTGGTTCAGTGCAAAAATAGGCCTATGAAATCACTGTTGACGAAGTTAAACTAAAAAGATAGGAATATGTATTTCCTTTATTGCCAGGTTTTAGATTAGAAGATTACAGAAAGCAATCCGCAAATGGTCGGCTGTATATTATTTCAATTCAAACACAAGTTTTCTTCACCATTCATTTTTTCTTGCTTTCAATTTATATAAATGATTTGATAATCTATCAAGCGCTTAGCTCTCCATTGCCATTGACAGCCTCTAGGCAGGATGCAGCATTGCTTTCATTAACCAGCGGTGGCTCCCCACCAAAACAAGTTTTGATTTCACCCTCCGACCATATCTGACCAAGATGATGATTATCGGGGCGATTAATCACACGGCACTTATTGAATAAGCGGCCATTTCTCTGATTGCTGCTCTCGCAGTAAAACTCCGTAACCACAGGAACAAGTGACAGCATATTCAAAGGGGAAGGTGCAATTACGGCACACTTCAATGGACCGATCATCAGGTGGCTTCAGGTTCATTGTTCCCATTCCACAGGGAAAGTAATTCAGGGCTGAAAAGGCAGTGATTGCATTGCTCCAAAATCCAACTCCAAATCCATGGGAATGCCATTATAGTAAGAATGCAACCAGAGTGTGAATGGACTGCTAATAGTGACAGACTGTGACCATACAACTATTCTGAAAGAGGAACTGAGGCCATTGCTATTTGCTTTTCCCAAGCAAAAAATAGCAAATCCTCTAGTGGTATATACTGATGACCTGATATCTCCTCCTATAGATCCCCATATTTGCCCCTGAACAAGGCAAAAGAAGGTGTGTCTTGAAGGAGTTTTTGTAGGGTAAATTGCAAGAAAACGAGTCGGTATGAGATTTGATAATTTGTTCATCATTTCATGCATTTATTAAGCAAATACTGCTGTTTGTGTCTGTTTAATATCAATGCGAGTTGCATGTCTTTGGAATTTTAACTGTTGGTTTAACAAAGCTAAAAGTTTGAATGGGCTATGGGGAGATTGTGGTGCCCATTTTAAGCCATTATCGGACATTTTTACAAGATACATCCTGTTACATTTGTGTTGGCCTAATAACGGGTTATTCTAACAAAAGTCACAATAATCGTGATGGTCGAATCAAAAATAATCCAATAGTTTACTACATGCCATCTCACCATGGCTGCACGGTTGCCAATAGCAACTTCACTGGCATGATGTTCAACATACAAATTGTTCTTTTATCCCCAATTTAAAGAACTCTGCATTTACCTTTTTGTTTTGTTTTCATAAAACAAATTCCCCCCAAATGTGACTCAAACGGGATTGATACCTTGAAGCTGCACAAACCCATTGTCCAAATGATCCACTATTTAAATGTGTGACATAACTGGTCGCTGAGGAGGCCAACATCTTTGTAGCATCATTATCTCGGTGACCCGCAGCCTCCCGGTGGACACGGGACGGGACACTCCGGGTTCAAGCTTGAGAGGAGCCCACAAACTGTTCACCTATAAGATCACGAGTGACTAAGTTACCCAACTAACTCGGGAGTGAATGAGGGGGAGGGAGGAGCGGGGGTGCTGCAAAACATGATTGATTATAAATCCTCGACCGAACTTCAGCTGCGAGTCTGTAGCAAAGGTCTCCTCCTGCCTCCAACCGCACAGCAAGCTGCGCATCTCCTCGGATGCTGAGGGAGTAGCTCAGGGAGGAGGAGGGCGGAGGAACAAAGAGAGAGAGAGAAAAGGAGAGAGAGAGAGCGAGAGAGATACAACAAAAAGGAAAATATTTCAGCACCGGAGCTGTCCGTGGGCTCTTGGAGAAGTCTCTATTCCTGCCGAGGGGGACTAGAAGCTGCACTCCGACTGTAAACGTCCTCTGCGGGACCGTGAGGAGGAAGGAGGGATAATATACAACTGCCATTCATCTCTGCTGCTGCTGGTGTGGGAGGGGGGTCTTCTTCCGACGGGACCAGCAACGACGGCGCGTACTTCAATCGAGCGGAGTCTTGCCATGCTGGACGGCCGGACTTGAGACAGTGAAAGGGCAACAAAAAAAAAAAGTCTCCACAGAAGTCGAGGTGAACGGCAGCTCTTTTGTTTTGCGGTGAGTAGCTACCACAATAAGCCCCGCGTGGCTTTTTCCCCTGCCTCGTAAGATTACATAACGAAACTGCCAAGCGGACGCTATGCTGGTCTACGTTAGATGTTGCAAACGCTGGGCTGTGACGGGACTCGTGCATACGTGCTGGGATAAGCCTCGTTACGGATGCTTGCATGGGTTGAATATTTAGGTCAGCATCACATGGGTGTGGATGCGCGTCGAGTAATTGTTACCAAACTACAGGAGTTCACGCGGTGGCTCGGCTCCCGTTGCGTCCTTTTTCGTTTGACATAATGTTTTAAATATATATATATATTTATATGCAGACACTATAGTGAAAGAACACAATTCGGGGAGTTCTTGGGAGTGCGTGTGCATGTACGTCATTGGTAGAATAACTGTTAAAGCACCAGGGTACTGTTTCTTTTTTTTTTTGGTTCCTCAATGACCTTTTAAAGGAAGTTGCAGCCTATCAATGAGAGCAACTACTGGTATGATGATTCTGAATCCTCTGCAGCAGGCTTTACTTCGCCCCGCTATCTGTCCACTCTTCCCACCGTCCCACAAGGGGGTGGGGAGTGCTCCCTTCCATTAAGCCCTCCATCAGCCTTCGCTGCTGTTATCTCCTGGGCCCACAAACAAGCCAATTTCGGTGTTAGATCTCTGAGTGAGTCCTGTTCGCTCCTCGCTGTGTGACAGATCCCTACAGCCCGGGCTGCTCCTCTGCCGCCCTGCTCTTTTGGGACTCTCTCTCAAGAGCGTTCCCGGGCTGGCACAGGCTCCCCTGTCTGGCAGCGCCTGAATGCCAACGTGACGCTTCCAGCCCAACGATGCATTGAGATTTAAATTCCTCCCTCTATTCAGGCACATTGAAATTCAAACCTCCCAGTGCATTTGTTGTAATGCTTTTTTTTTTTGTGTGTGGAGAACATTGGTTGCTGTGCTCAGGTACCAGGATGGGAGAGGAGGCAACGGCATGTCAGGAGGGAGAGTTCCATGCACATAGCTGTGTTAATCCTTCTGGAAGAAATGGATGCAGCAGGAGAACGTAAAACTTAAGCTCTTGCTTTCGATATGTTTGTTCCCAAGTGCACGTAAATCTGCGTGTTTTAAATGGATGTTAATGATGCCGCTCGCTCCCCATGACTGGAAAAAAGGGTGAACTCATTAGTGTAATTAGTTCCAGATCTCTGCCTCGCTGGTCCGTGGGTGAGATCTCTTGGCTGAAGGGGGTTTCGTTCCCATGAAAAGGCATGCTTTGTTGGGCTCCCATTGAAAAAATCCACTCCCCCCTATACACCTCCTCTCTCTCCTCCCCTGAAACAAGGAATGAAAAGGAGGGCTGGTTGGGATTCTAATCAGCACACAACAGTGACATCCAACAGCTTTGGGAAAGGGGATTCATACAGTCAGAGGAACACTAACATGTGAATGAAGCCAGACACAGCATCCCGTTTCACGCTTTCATGATGTATGTTGTCTTAACACTGTGTAGGACAAACGAGGGCTTTAAAAAAAAAAAGAATTGCTGTCTAGTGGGGTTAAAAGATACAAAAACATGAGATTTAAAGTATTATATAGTTGTATTGTTTGTCATGTAAAGCAGAAAGATAATTGAAAAATTGTTTTCTCTGCAACATGTTTTAAATCTTTAGGAGACATCAATCGGATTATGTTCTTTCAAATTCTTTTGACAATGACGTTTTCTCTGGACGGCATTTAAAGGTGAAGTTACTTGTTGAACTTGGCCGTCGTTCGCGTCATCACGTTGACCTTGTGCAACATCTTAAAAGCCGACATCCTCTCTGGCGCCTGGCCGACCACACACGCATACTGACGACACGCAATCGCTTCTAAAAGAAATAATTGTTTATTTCAGTGAAAGAAAGAATTGGCTACGGAGTAACGAAAGGCAAGCTGATGTTTGTTGTGGTGGTCTATCTTCCGTAGACCGATAGGTGGCTGTCATATGAGGCCCCGCAGATCTCAATAACATCCCCATGGTGAAACTTGGGCAACAGAGGACTGAATACTAATATAGACCTTAAGGTGTCCCCGTTGGCCTCTAATACACTGCTGCTCACAGGAGGAAATGGATTCCAATTCTAACTTAAGAGTCATTTCCTATTTGAGCACGACATTGAGCTCTTGCCACAGGTCTATGTGACAAAAAAAAATAGATCTACCAACTTATTTCTTTTTTTTTTTTCTGTCTAAGATGTGTAACATTCAGAAAATGACTCCAAGTTGGATGCTGTTGTCATTGTGAACTGCTATATATAGCAGGAGGAGGGAGTGTGTTTTTCCCCCGACATGGTCTGTCAGTGTCGAATTAGTGAGTGAAGAGTGGATGGGGCTACAAAAGGATTGTTCAGAGGAGCAGAAGAAAAAATAATCACATGGATTTGAAGAGCACTTTGGTGCCACCTCCCTCTGAAATCATCAATATTTAATTAAACCAAGATGCTCCTGAGAGCTTCATCATCCGGGAGCTCATCACACTCAGTTGCTGACATGAGTCAGACAGACTGTAGGCCTACATTGGACCTGGAAATGTTTCTCGGACGCGTGTGGAAAACAAGTAAAGAAAGTGTCAAGATTCATTTCTTCTCCGGGGTTTCGAATATGGACGAATACTTGGCGAATGTGTCCCGCAAGAAAAAGAACGAGTGCCGCTAATTCTTCGCCCTTCTCGAGATCGTTCTGTCGCAGTGCAGCTCGACAGAATAACATTTGCCCAGCCATATATGTCACGATCTGCCCCAAGGAGTGGCCCTGTTTCCCTTCCCTTCATCCAGATCTTTTTTTATCTGGGGGTGTTTAAATCATTCAGAGGGGTCCGGGTAGGAGAGCACAGAAGCAGAGGCAGCTGCTCGTGCAAGAATTCTACTGAGCGTCAAGCCCGAGGGAGTTTTATTTTTTATCTCGTCCTCCTCAGTTTCTACTGCCCCTCAAATGTAATATGAGGGGTGGATGTTGGGGACTGGCTTGATATACTCTATTTGGCAGTTGAAGGAACATTTGTTGTTCAACCAAACTTCTATCTGATTTTGGGGGTGTTTGGCCATCATGTCTTTCCGATATGCTAACATTGTACTCACCAAGGTCATTTCTGAGATTTGAAAATGTGTCACAATCACGTCAACGAGGCAGAACATTATCCAAACAACTTTATTTGTAGTTTAAAACCACAACACACAAAACACATGTCTGTGTTAATCCCAGGAAATGTGTGCGTGCACACAGGTCAAAGTTGATTGAGGAAGTCTAGAGAGCAAGTTTCCTGAAAATGTAGTCCATTACTCATTAGGCTACAAATGAATAACTGAAAAAGTAATTACATTACCTTAATTACTGTAATGGTAATTTCCGGATCTTGTGTACTCTTCCAGACCTTGTGACCGATCACTTAATGACCCAGCTGACTACATACGCTATCATAGTTATCAGGCAGAAAATGTGAACAAACCCCTACGTTGTTACCTCTCAGTAAAGAGAGAGATTTTACGTGCCTTTGTAAACTGTAAAAATTCAAGACATTTTCAAACCCACAAGCCAGTCTCCAGGTTGGAAGTATTTACTACAACAGCTAGCTTAGCGTTAGCCCCAAAGAAAAGCATTTTGGGGGATCTATTGGCAGAAGTGTAATAAAAGTATGTTTCCTGTAGTGTATAATCACCTTAAAATAAGAATCGTTGTTATTTTTTGTCTTTAAATGAGCCGCTTATATCTAAATATGAAGCAGGTTGCCATGTTACGACAATAGCCCAGAACAGACAAACCAAACACTGGCCCTAGTTAGAGCCATTCAGGTATTCATGGTTTTGCGTCAACCACAGTAATTCTCCTCCACATTTCACACAAAAGGAGGAAGTTTCAGTTGGTTGCAATCTGCAACCTTGCCGCTAGATGCCAACAAATCCTACACACTGCACCTTTAAGGGTCTATGTTTGGGGGTTTTATATAGTTGCCCTGGGTTAGCTCCCTGCATCAAGCTAACGTATGTACCGAACCAGTTTGCCAACTAACTACAAACTGAACTGATGTCAACCATTCTACTATCCCCCAGAAGGCTTCGTGCAAAACATGTGAAAGGCTGAGCCCCAAATTGTCAAACTAATAAAGCATTACTTACCGCACACTACTCATTACTGAAGAAATACTGTTGCACGTTGTTGTATTTTATGTAATTGTGATGGAGGCACAGTTTGGATAATAATTTTACAGTTTGCCAACTGTGTCATTCAAATAATTGGCAGCTTAAATAAACTATAAAAATTAGTATTTTCCCCAACAACAGCAAGATCCGCAGATGAATGATCCTTGAGGTCCTCATTTTCTGTCGTTGGACCGGGAACGACTCCTTGAGACAGACGGGCTGCGTTAATCAGATAGCTTTCCACTGGTGGTAATGTAATGGTGTAATGTATTAACATCCGACTCTGTGTTTCTTGTCCCCTCGGGGGCATTTTTTAGCGTTGTCAGATGAGTACAGTGATATGATTACTGATGGGAAAGATGGTGAAAGCTACAAAAATTGTAATAAGAAGTTTGATTGACATGGATATCTTTGCTCCTCACCAGAGTGCTGCCATGGATGGAAAACAAATATATTTACTACCTCTCTTGTGAGTATAAAGTGCACACGGGTGTCGAGCTGCACAAATGTTGCTGTCAGACAGGCAGGAAAAAAGGGTTGAGCTGTTTGACAGGCTCGTGGTCAAAGGCTTTAGGATATCAGACTTGTGAGGCGACCACGTGGCAGGTTACTCAGCGCTATCGAATAAACTAAGGTATCAAAGCCAGGCACTGACCCATTTGTGTCAGAATAGAGTCGTACAAGGAGGTAAAAAAAACAAAACACGAGGCCCTTATTTAAAATTCATGAGTTAACCTGAAAGTGACAAGGTCTTCTGTGTGCTCAGATATTCCCTCACCAGCAGTAGCTCCACTTCCAGCTTTGTTTGAGGAATGCAAATTGTGAGAGGAACATGATTCTCTA